GAACTTTCAAATAACTTGTAACATTCTCTTTCAAATGCATCGACGGGTTCTTCGGTAAAACTACTTTTTACACAGATATTGGGTTCGGAAGCACGTAAAAAGTCCGAGGCTATATGCGTTTTGGTGAAATTATCCGACTGTTCTTGGAGGTAATCGCAGTTCTCCAATAACACTGACTTCTTCTTAATTCTTTCATCATCGTCTGCATATTGTAGAGATCGGTAACTTTGGAGATAATTTTTTTTCTCCCTTTCGGAACTATATGGAGAGGGAGTTTTTATCCATAAATATTGATCTGTTTGGGTGAGTATATTATTATATCCTTTCTTAGATTGTAGTCGCGAGTCGCAATCGAGTGTCTTTTTTAATGTCCACGGAAACTCGTAATTTTCATTCAAAGATTTGATTTCTAAATCAATAACTTGAGGAGGGTTTGTGTGAAACTCATCCATTTCAAACCTTATATTCATTTAATTCGATGACTGACTTTAACGGTAAATTTTATTTTTATACACTACTATGGGTATACACTATAGATATACACTATGGGTATACACTATGGGCATATACTATAGGCACTATGCGTTTCCTTCCCTTTCTCCCCCCTCTCCTTTTTTCGATTTTTTTTCTAAGCTTTTGCGGGCAGCAACCCACCCACCTCCAGCGGCAACTCGGCCTTATATACTAAACTTTTCTCTTTTCTCTTCACTTGTGGTATCGCTACTCTGTCCCCCTTTCTCTATGTACAAGTACGCATGCGTATCGCTACTCTATCCCCCTTTTTTCTTTCATAAACACGTACGCATGCGTATCCTTACTACAATCGACGACTTCAACAAACGAACAGTCAAACCTTTACAACATTTTATTAAATCTTTCAAACGAAAAACATTACATTACACACTACTAAATCTTACAGATATAACCACTTCTGAATTCCAAATCATCATTCTATCTCACTATCACTATCAATTTCATCTTCATTTTTTCCTTCTAATAATCCCGTCTCTTCATCAATCTTTAACTCATCTTCTTCAGATCCTTCTTCTCCTAGTTTCTTTATCGCTCTAGGATTCTTCTTAACGACTACATTATTATCTTTCAACATCTTTTCGATTTTAGGATCAAAAACTCCTGAAGCGCGATGTGGCGGTGCGAACATCTGATCTCCTATCAATTCTTTAAATATCGTATAATTCGATACGTGCAAAAAATACATACCATACAATTGCGTAAATATCTTAAAAACAAATAAACACGCTAATATATCCATCACTTTCACTTTCGCTGAATTTTCGCACATGGAAGAACCTTGGTTTATATTATTCAACCAACAACGAGAAAAAAATAAAACGTACATACCTCCTATACACAAACGGACCGATTGAAAAAAACTCAACATTATCATCGATAACAAACCGGGGTGGTCTTTAAATTTACTCAACGCTTGTTTTAAAGCCCTATTCCGTAATGTCTGCCAAGCGTGAGAACAAAATATAACCAGACTTATGAACCCCGTCACGAACCACGGAAGCCATAACAATATCGTCTGAGTATTAAAATTTGGGAAGTAATTCAGGTTATAACCGTGCTTTTTCTGACTGCTCACAAATAAGATGATCCATATATAAATCGCACTGCGTAAAAAAATCTCGATGCTCACTATCAACACGTCTTTCACTAAAAATTGATACCGGCTCCCGATCAATTCAAAATAATGCGTATGGTTTCGTGGAGGACGTTCCTTTTTCATATCTGTCGAATAATTAAACATCGGGACTTTCGATTCTTTATGTTCTTTGAAATATTTCCACGTATATTCGTTCTGAATCGAAAATTCGTTCAAGCTCTTTACGTCTTTGACCAACATATCACCTAACCTTACAGGAGACCCCGGTAAATGCACAAACGTCTGTATCAATATGGCCACTAAGTTCAATATGATCGAAATCGTACATAAAACGTACATGAAAGATTCAGAAAATGGATGACTTCCGTCCGCGTTATGATTATGCGGAGTAAACCAATACGTCAATAAACCTAACGATGTTAAACCATCTACAAACGGAATAACTACCGGGTAAATCAAGGCGTTGAATATACGAATATATTTACTCTCACCGTTTTTTATCGCTTCTCGAAACCCCATATGTTCTTTCGGATTCTCTTTTTCGTGGTTCATATGGTAAAATATATACATCAATAATGTCGTACCAGAACACGCAAAATAACAAATATAAATGGTCGCACCACTTGCCGATTCATGCGTCAGACGAATCGGATTCATACCGTTCGCTTCCATGCTATGAACGTGCATGCTTATCCAAAACAAAACACCTACAAAGAACAAATCGTTTATTAGTAATAACAAAAAACGTAAAATCTGATATATGGTTCTTTTATCGGTGGCCGACATGTGAACTTGAAGGCCCACCGAAGTTATGAATTTCTTACAATCGTCGATCACATCTGATTCAAACGATTTTATCTCTTTTAAATCTTTTTTAATGATCTTTCTAAATTTAGGCATTATCTACTTTCCTTACAATATAACTTAATATTAGATTCATTAATTAATACTTTAATGGTCAAAAATATTTAAACAATCTTCTTTCCCTCCTCATCCTTTTCCTTCGATTCTCCGCATCTTTCACTTACTACATTCGCATTAAAAAAATCGGCTTCTTTATGCCAAGTGTTCGCAAAATAAGTTTCGAGCTTCTTCTCTTTCAAAGCTTCTTGCTTGCGGTAATGATTGTGGTTATGTAATATATTAAAGAAGAGTAACATTGAAAGATAATGAATCAATAATACGAGACATATATATAAACCTTTTTCTAAACCCATCTCGATCAGAATAACCATATAAGACAACAAATATAAAGTCATCGAAACCTCGTCAGACAAGAATTTCAGAGACATTCTTATTCTCGAGACGATATATATATATATATAATGAAAAAGAAATATGGGCCGAAAAAATCCAATATCAATTCCTCCTCTAAGTCGAAACGTAACTGGGGTCGATCTTCTCGGTGGAAACAAGAACCTTGGTCTTCGGTTTATCATTCGATACAAAAACCTTACTTTATCCTCAATGTCGGGTGTATAAATACTACTACTACCGGATGGAAAGATCATGACCCTCTTCACTTGAGATACAACATGCCACTCAATATTTTTGACAAGGCAAAAGAGATCTTGACAGAATGTCAATCTAATGTCAAAAAAAATTGCCGTGGATTCTGGTTCTTTCCTGACGCAGATCGACCTAAAATCGGATGGTTTCTTAGCTCCGTCACCGCTTACATCACCAAACTAGGACATCATATCAATATCAAAAATTATAGAAAAAATTCCGGTTACATCTTCAAATACAGAAGCCCGAAATCATCTAATGCGGCGGCGAGAATCGGACGGAATATCGATCATGCCTTTAACGTACTAATCGAAAACGGACTACGAATTCGATATATTACGGACGACCGTAAAAAAAAACTTCTATATTTCAAAGACGAAACAAACCCGAGGTTTCATCCTCCACCTTCTTTCGTTGCCACTTCCATTTGTACATATCTTACACAGAAACGTATCTACCCTCTTTTCGGACACTCTCTCGTTCTCGGGAATTCTTGCTTCGGCGGTATACCCGATTCTATCGCTTGGGATGATACTACTAACGAAATCGTTATCCTAGAACTCAAAACTACTTTCGTGGTTTTCGAATCTTTAGATATCGACGATTCTATCGTTTCTCACAAATGTATCAGTGATTTAGGGTTTAAATACAGTATCTTGGGACAATATCAAAGTCAAGCGGCCTGTTATGCTGCACTTTTAGTCCAACAATTAAATTTCAAATACAATGTACGAGCCGATATTCTCGTCATCTCTATTCCCACTAAAGGAACTACCATCAACACCGTCACCATCCCTTCACGACACATCTTGGACACCGTTTTACCTTGCATGAACGAATTCAAAGATTTTTTCGGTCCTACCAAACCCGGAATCAATCCGCACAGATTATACAAGATACCGAAACATATCAAACAGACTAAAACCATATGGAATAGGCGGTCGCCCGCTGCCGTCATCATAGATAACTACAAAAAAAAATTAACCAAACAAAAAGGATGTATAAAACGAGTCAGAAAACGAGATTTTTAATTTTTATTTATTTAAGTGAGTGAATTAAATCAACAATATGTTCTTAACATTGATCGATACCGCGTCGTTCTTATCTCCCATTTCTAAAATACTCCCACAAGTACCTAAATACCACACGCACACGGGCTCTAAAACCTGGATCTTGGTATTAAAATAACGTTCTTTATAATAATAATATTGACAATATATCTTCATCGTATTAGGCTTTATATTACATTTAACTAAACGGATCCAAGGGAAATAAAAACCTTTCACTTCACGCATCGTTATCACAAAATATATATAAAATCCTTTCCCTTCTGTTTTATCGAACGGATTGTCCCACACTTCGTTCTCAAAATTCCACGGAGAACTATTCGTAACCGTCACGTTGATGATACGATCTATCCTATTGTCGAAATACGATGATAACACCGTGCCCAAAAAATTAAACACTCTGAAAAAATACTGCGGCTTTTCGATACAACACCAATAATGCCATATCTTAAACGGCATCTTGATCAAATTCGACACGTACTCGCGACGCAAAATCGGCTCGTTCGTTTCTCGAGATGTTTTTTTAATAAACTGTAAAAATTTGACTTGTTCTTGTAATATCATCTTCGGAGTTAAGACCGTTACTTTATCCCCCAACATACTCGCATCTGTTACCCCATTACAGATACGTAACGTTTCGTTATGGAATGGTACTTATGTTACGCTCAGACATCAAGAAACGACTGGTCCGAATTGTTAAAATTGTATTAAAGTCAATTAAATATAAAAAATTTTAATGTTTGTATTAAACATAGTTTTTTAAAAAGTATAATAAACTCTTTTTATTCTCAATCATGTCTGATGATTTTAAAGTCAAGGTTGTTTTATATCAAAACTCCTTTTATGTTGTCTTTGCTGAATCTCAAAATATATTTCGGATATTTCCTGAAATACATCCTACTCATTTTATAAAAATCGCTGATGTCAATCAAGTGGGGACCGATGATCCCTATTTTAGATGTCTCCACTCTCATCTTCAATCTAAAAGTAAGAAAATTCCCAAAGGTGCAGCAAGATTACCACATTTTCATGTAATTAACGAGAATAATGTTTTTTTATGTCAGAAACAAAAGTTTAATGGTCATATTTACAATTCTCCGGAAGTTGATTTAAATAATCCAAAAGTATGTAGAGCTCAGTCGGCTGTAAGTCCTGATATAAAATTATGTATATATCTCATTACAAAAAGAGATGGTATAACAATCTCGACCGAACCTATACCGACTGGAAAACAAAGAATTCGTCGACCTGTGCATAAAAGAAATCCACGATTACGTGATTTTGTAGAGTTAGAAGAAGCTGAAGAAGTATTTGAAGATGGAAGTTTTGATTTTGAAGTAGAAGAAGGAGTAGAAGATTTTAACCATATACAAGGTATAGACGGTATTGAAGAAGGCAAAGAAGAATATGAAGATTATTATGAAGTGAGTGAAGGAGCTGGACATGAGGGAGACTATGAAGATGGTGAAGAAGACGATGATGGAGGTGAAAATGGTGGGGAAGATGGCGAAGATGAAGATGAAGATCGTGAGGGAGATGATGAAGATAGTGAAGGAGAGGGTGATGAAGATGAGGATGATGAGGATGATGAGAATGAAGGTTTTTATCTATTCGTTCTTGATTTTCTACTTCAGTTGAACTTACTACTCCTATCATGAAATCTAAAAAGTTTATTTTTTCTTTTAGTTTTAAAATCAACATGGACGAGTCTATCATATCCTTTAAATTTCCAATCTCGAACACTAAATTCCACGTCGATGCCGGATTTACCCCTTTTTTCACTACTTTAGAGATCTTTTTTAATAGATATTGTATAATAGAGGTATAGTCTTCTACGATCCACCAGGGAATTAATTCATGTGTTTTTTCTAGATAATTAAACAATATCGATAAAACACGTAAAAAACGATAGCATAATAAAACCGTCTTATTTCTTATCGTTATTTTCTCTTTTTTAAAATCTCCAGTTAAATAATAACTCGATCTTACCATTACCTTATTTCTTTCATCACTTTTTAAAAGATTTAATAAAAACTTATAATCCCATTTATCTTTCAACCGTTCTATAGTCTCGTCATTGTTCAAAAAACTACCTCTACTCGTTATGAATACCTCTACCTCTTCCACTTCTTCAATCACTACCATTCGTAATTCACACGAACTTTTAATATGACTCCTTAACGTTTGCGGAAGAGTATGGCTTTCTTCTTTTATGAACTCTATGAGTTTTAACGATTCTTGGCATAACTCACCCGATTTATCTTCTAACAAACAGATTTTAGGATCAAAATCCCATTCACCTTCACTACTCATCGGATTTTTTTTTTCATACAGTATATTCAACTCTTTCGATATCTCATATCATCTTATTAAATGGTTTTTTCTTTTATCGTTTCTATATTTAATTTTATATTTTTTACTTCAGCTTTATGACATAGATGATACATCTTATTGATAACACTAGAATCACGTGAAGGTAATATCAATGAAGGTAAATATTCTTGTAGATAATAAGACCTTTCAAACGCTTCTTCGGGACTTGACGTAAAATCTTGTTTAATTTCTTTAATTTTTAACTTATATATATAAAACCACGAATAAACACTCTTGTTCTTTACTGTAGCGATAGATATTATTTCGACGAACATTAAATGAAGTCGAGAATCTTGAGTTACTGACATTTTCAATCCAAGCTTTACTCTTTCTAGGCATCTCTCTATATTCTTGTCCCACTCTGTTTTTGTTACTAACCAAACTATTTTCTGATCTTTTTCGGGTTCTTGACTCTTATATTTTTCTTCTCCTTTTTCTTCTATCCCTACATCAATCCCAAATCTCGTTATGAACAAAAAGGAACTAAAACTACGAAACACTTCGTTATACACTAAACTTCGATATTGAATTAATGCCGATGTCAACGAATGTTGTAAACGCGAATAAGGTGAAGTATGATGAACACTGTCGTTATTTACTGACCATCTATCTAGACCGTAATACACGTCAATCATAAAGGATGTTTTTACTAGGTCTTCACTCTTAAAATCTTCGATACAATCGATTTTTTTAAGTGAAGGGATGGGTTTGTATTGCCATAATTCTTGCTCTGTTATAGTATACGCCATACTATACCATACCGGGATTAATCGCAGTTCAGATTTTAACAATGAATTTTTAAAAAACAAATTTCTTTCTTCTTCCACACTATTGACATAATTTAACATGTTCAATACTAATTTCGTCCAATTTATTGTGTCTAGATATAAAAATTCACTATATCCCTTCGGTGTAAAATATTGACGAGGAGGTTTAGTGAGATGTTGACACATGTTTAATTGCACATAGACGTTCGACCGAATCGTTATTCGAAATTCTAAATCCTGAACCCACCAATCTTCACGTAAAAAATCAAACTCGTTTCTTACACTAACATTAAGATCTTTCAATAAATCTCTATTCACTAACCCCAGGGTTATACATATTCCCTTTTTTTTTTCCTCCCAAAATAAACGCGTTAACGCTGCTAGTCGTTCTCGCGTTAACGTCCACATTCCTATCACCTCATTCGCAAAGAGAAAGAGAAAACGAAGGCTTACTCGACTGTCTAATGTCGTTCTAGATTCTATACGCATAACCTCTAAACCTCCACCCCCATTTTTAATTCGACTATCTAAATATATATCGGCGCGATTTGGACAACATGAATAAATACAATAACCAACTTCTCTAGAACCAATGAGGGTTTTTAATCCTTTTATTGATACTTCAAATTCATAAAAATACATCCTGTCTATTATTCATCACATAAACTAAACTTTAACCTAAATTAAAACAACTCTTCTCTTACAAAATTAATATATACCTCCCAAAGAGATTTTCGAGTTACGTTCAACCCATTATTTTCGAATCGTATCTCGGTTTTTTTTAACGATTCTATGTCGTGAAACGTTTCCCAAGTAATATTCACAGGATGGACGGTACAATGCTCGTTGTTTATTGCCGCGAGATGAAATATTTCCGTCTCTTCATCGCGGCCTGTTGGATAACCCCACAAACTACCTTTCGTAGGAATCAGACCGCTTATCAGATGACAAAACAATAAAAACCCTGATTCTGAAATCGGATCGTCGGGTCGAGTTAATTTATCTGCGTTCTCATTTTTATTATCTATCCATTTCTGTTGAGAATATCTATCTTTGATTCGGGCTATAAACGTATCGCACGAATACATCGTTTGAATCCATTTACCTAGCTTTACGTTTGTGTTATACGCTAAATTATAGTTTTGTAATGTCATGTTTATATTTCCTTTCAATTCGATATCCTGGTTATACGGATGATTTTCGTAATCTATCAAATCACCTCTCCAATTTTTCTCTTCTTCGTTTTCTATAAACTTCTCTTGATTATGAAACGTGTCTTCTGTTTCTTTATCCGAATCTCGCATTCGATACCATGATTGGGTTTTATGATTAAAATAAAAACGTTGTAAATCTAATCGGAAACTACGCGGACCTTCGACACCCCGCGTTTCCTTTGATAATGTTAAGACGTCTGACAAGAAATTACGAACTCCGTGACTTAATTTCTTTAAATCTTCGACGGAAGCTATTGTCTCGCCACAAGGACATAATAAAGGCGATGGCGATGATGTATAAGACGATAATATCGAACGGATTAAGGCTGTGCGATGACAGGTCACATGCTGATTGTGGATCATCGGAATACATCCTGGGCGATGGATAATCTCGTGAAGTTCGTGTGAAGATGAAGTACGGGCCGATTGAATTTGACCGATTTTTGGAGTTGTACTCTCTGCTTCTTCTGTTTGAACACTGGTTGATGATGATTTTAAATTCTTCACACGGTTCCAAATACGATCACTTATTAATTTATCGAAATCATGTCTGCTCAAGGGAGAGAACTCTTTGTTGTGAAATAATCCTAAAGTCTTATATCCGCACGCAAATGACACGCTATCCGATGTCGAAATCGGGGTCAAACATTCTAAACATAAACTCTCTCCTTTCATTCTTTCATAATCATCTAGATCACGAATTTGATGTACAGACGTTAACGTTTGGACAGGACCGGGGAGTGATTCTAACCCCGAAATTATTTTTTCGTTCTTAGAACTTTTATGGTTTTCTTTGAGCGTTTCGTGATAAGTTTGTAAGTCTGAATAATATGTGCTCTCTGGTTTAAGAGTCTTTTGAGAATTATCCCTTGTCACATTTGGGTCACCGTAACCTTGAATTAACGAAAACGTAATTGTTGGGGGGAGGGGAGACGAATTCAATAATGTACGCATTTTTTTCGACGCTTCAGGTTCGCTAGGTTTCATAACTCCCCGATTAGTACGTTTCTCTCTCTTTTTCGATTTAGTCTGGTTATTTACTGTCGCTTTTAAATCTACGCTTACTTTCTGAAGTGCTTCTAAAGCTTCTACTCCTATATCGTTTTGAAATAAACTAAGATCTAAATTCGTTCCACTCAGTTGTAATATTCTTTTAGATATAACGTCAGGTGATTTTGGTTTACCATATACTCTATTCCCAATAGAATCGTTAAACTCTTCTCGTAAACGATCGAATAATTCGAAATTGTTTAATATAACCGTCGACCAACTGTCCGTCTTTGTCGGCATCTTTAATTTCGATAATTGCATAAGGAAACGATTGAATTCCACCATTATCGAAAACGAATTAGGAGGGTCTTGAGGAATATATACTAATGCTCCACCAGTAAAACCTCGTAACACTAAAGTACAAAACGAATTCACGTCTTGAAGTAATGTCTCGGTCATGTTGACACAAGTATTCACGAAAGATTGTTTCATTATCGTTATCAACTGGCTTCGACTCACCGATTTTTTATCCTCGACTTGATTATATATCGTTACGAAATATTGCTTAAAAACTCGCTCTATCGTTATTTTTAGGTTTTTTTCTATCTGAGAATATAAAGGGAATATATTCAACAAAAATCTTAATCCCAAATCCCCAACACCTAAATTATCCAAAAACGCTTGATCGTCTTGCCCCAAACCAACTTCAATCGAATCTGATGTCGACAGACGATGATGAAGTATCACCATTTGAGGGATGAGAGCTCGTGTCACTTCGGTCGTCCGACCTAATACATACTTCGATGCAGGACAAGGATTCAATGCGGTGTATTGTATAGAATCGGACAACAAAAAATTATCTACCCACATACTCGGGAGAGGATTATAACTTGGTTTTAAACGGTTCTTTAAATATTCAAATCCTTTCTGAAATATCCTATTAAATTCATTCATCTCACCAACGTCGAGTTCCGGTAAAGTTTCACTTACACTGACACTTTCGATTACGAGAGGTATCGGAGACGGTATTTTAACCAGACTTTCTGATACCTTTTTCGGTAATTCTGTATTAGAAATAACATTCTTCTCTTCAGTTGGTTCCTTTGTTATTTTTCGCCTTTTAACCGATTCTTCACCGTTTTCTATCTTTGCTACACTTATTTCCTTTTCAGAATCTACAACCGTTTCATGAGGGTTTACGATAGCTAAATCACTTTTAACCCAATTATCTGATGTTATTTTAGCCCTTTTACTATCTTCTACATGTTGAACTTCGGTCATATTCGAAAGATTACCGTCGGTTAAACCGTAAAC